GACGAGGCAAGGAACAAATTCTACACGGACCTGCACGCAATCCTGGCGTCTGTGCCGAAGGCGGATAAGCTGGTAATCCTCAGTCACTTCAGCGCCCGCGTCGGCACAGACCATGCTGCCTGGAGAGTAGTGCTGGGTCTCCATGGTCTCGACGGCTCCAACAAAAATGGCCTACTCCTTCTACGAACCTGTGCAGAACACTGCCTCATTCTGGCCAGCACATACTTCCGCCTCCCGCTTCTAGAGAAAGCCACCTGAATGCTCCCTCGCTCTTGACACTGGCACCTGCTAAATTTTGTCCTCGTCTGAAGGCGAGACCAGCAGAACATGCTGATGACAAAGGCTATTCCGTATGCGGACGATTAGACCGACCATCGCCTCGTCATCTCCAAGATGCAGACTCATCTACAGCCTCGCAGAAGTCCTCAAGTTAAGCGACCCCCAGGTAAGTTGAATAATGCTTTGTCGTCTCTGCCTGCTGGCCATCTCCATTTCAGCAACCAGTTAGCTCAACGGCTAGACAACCTTCCAGTCGTCGTTGTCGTCGTCGTCGCCGCCACAGTCGAGGAGAACGTCTCCGTTGAGAACCGACGGTACCAACTTCGGAACACAGTCTAATCGACGGCTCTGGCCGTCCTCGATCGCCCACGTCGCCAACATCAGGACTGGTTCGACGACAACGACGCCGCCATCAGCAATCTGCTCGACGAGAGGAACAGCCAGCACCAAGGCTACGTTGGCCGCCTGACCGACGACAACAGAGCTTCTACCATAGTCGCCGCCTTGTGCAACAGCGGCTACAGGAGATGCAGGACGCCTGGACGACTCGCAAGACCGAGGAGATCCAAGGGTACGCGGACCGCAACGAATGGAAGAACTTTTTCGCCGCGATCAAGGCCGTCTATGGCCCGCCAACTAAAGCAACTGCACCTCTTCTCAGCACTGAGCGGAGTACCCTACTCACTGAGAAGACACCAGTTCTACAGCGATGGGCCGAGCACTTCAGAGGCGTCCTCAACCGTCCCTCCACCATTTCCGACGCCGCCATCGCCCGTCTGCCTCAAGTGGAGACCAACACCGACCTCGACCTCCGCCCTCTCTCCAAGAAACCACCAGGGACGTGCAGCTGCTCACCAGCGGGAAAGCGCCTGGATCGGACGCGATCCCTGCTGAGATCTACAAGCACAGTGGACCCCGACTTATGGATCGTCTAACGGCGCTTTTTAGGAGATATGACGTCTAGGAGAAGTCTCGCAGGATTTCAAAGACGCCACAATCGTGCATCTCTATAAACGGAAAGGAAACCGCCAGCTCTGCGACAACCACCGAGGCATCTTCTTGCTGAACATCACCGGCGAAATCTTTGCTCGCATCCTTCTCAACCGCCTGAACAACCATCTGGAACGAGGTCACCCGCCTGAAAGCCAGTGAGGCTTCCGCCGTCATTGTGGGGCTGCCAACATCATATTCGCCGCCCACCAACTCCAGGTGTCAGGAGATGCGCGTCCACTACTCTACCTTCGTGGATCTGACGAAGGCCTTCGACACGGTGAATCGTGAAGGACTGTGGAAGATCATGCAGAAACTCGGCTGCCCATGACAATTCACTCAGATGCCGCGTCAGCTCCACGATGGCATGGTGGCGCCAGTCACTGACAATGAAGCTGTCCCAGGGGCATTCGCAATGACCAACGGAGTGAAGCAGGGCTGAGTCCCCGCGCCCACCCTCTTCAGTTTCATTTTCTCTGCCATGTTGATAGACACCTACCGTGACGAAAGACCGGGGACCCGCGTCACCTACAGGACAGATGGCCACCTCGATCATCGGCGGATGCACTTCCAGTCGCGTGTATCCACAACCACCGCCCACGAACTTCTCTTCGTCGATGACTGCGCCCTCAACACCACATCGGGATGGGAGCATGGATCCCTTATGCGCCGCCTGCGGCATCTTCGGCCTGATCAACACAGAGAAGACGCTGGTCATGCACCAACCGCCACCCAACGCTGCCCACAATACGCCGCAAATCAGCGTGGACGGAACCCACCCACAAGTCGTGGACAACTTCACGTACCTGAACATCACCCTCTCCCGCAGCAACAAAATCGACGATTTTCGGATTTTCGAGGCCAGTCAAGCCTTCGATCGTCTTCAAAACAGGTTGAAATCGTTACGGTCTCTAACTCTGCACTAAACTGAAGAGGTACAAGGCCGTCACCCTACAGACGCGGTTGTATGGAGCAGAGAGCCCGGCGATGTACATGAAGCAGGCACCCCAGTTGTCTTCGTAGAATACTGAAACTGAGGTGGCAGGATCGGATCCCAAACAGTCGTACTGGAGCGGACGGGAATCCTCAGCGTCTACTCTATGCTGAGGCAACTAAAAATACGCTGGAACGGCCACCTCGTGCGGGTGGAGGCTAAACAAACGACACACAAATCTCAACTGCCCCTTCGACACAAAACGCAAACGCCCAACCGCCCCCAACGCGTCCACGATTGTCATTGGGCATTCCAGGTGCAAATTAGACCTCCGAACCAACTGCAGCACCCGGACTGCACTAACCGTCGTCTTTCCAGCCAATACCGCGACGACCCTGAACTGCTTTGAAGACGGTCGAAGGCTTAACTGACCTTGGGAATCCGACGGGCCACTCGGTCGTTCATTTTTGTGCTGTAGGAGGGTGATGGCCAGATACGCGAAGTTATCCACTCCTTGCAGGTGGTTTCCGTTCACACTTAGCCGTTCACGGCTAAACCGCACCATCATATCATCCCTCACCTGCGTCTCACCGCAAGCGGGAGGTGTGCGTCTCGACTCCTATCCTGCATGTGTGGTCCGAGTCGGAGACTATTACGGTGCGTCGAGCACCGTGACTCGGAAGGCAGACGACTGGCGCCCAAGCTCAGTCCACGCAGCCTGTCTAGTCGCGTTGGGTGTAGTGGAGGACTGGTGGGTTGAGCCAGGCTGTCACGGTCCCTCCCCAAGCGACCTGACACCCATGCATGTGTTCGTGTGCTTTGGGGTTAGTGCCTCTCAGTCAACGACAGTCCGGTTACCCAATCTTGAAGGGCGACGGCCCAGGCTAAACGCGGAGCCAAGCGTCGCTCCTCCAAGGTCAAAAAGTCTGAAAGCATGCTATACTACTATCAGCAAGCCATGGTCCCCGCAGCCTGGCATGCGCTGGCGGTCCCCTGCCGGTAGATGCGCTTGCGCTCCCGCTGGGTGTACAGGAGGTGGCCATCGCTGTCCAGTCACCTTCGTTCTTCTGACTCCTGCTGGGATGGCTACTGTTGAAAACTGGTCAAGCGTACGCTGCGGGCCAGGGGCTGTGTTGGCACGCCCAGGTGAGAGTACGGTCGTGCCAGCCAACTATGCGCCCTCCGCGCCTCGAGTTTTCTTGAGCGTCTTGACACCGGGTCCAGGTGAAAAATGGGGGTGTGACAGACCCTGCGCAAACCCACTAAACTAATGCACGCGCGTCACCATGCTTGCTACACCTTGCTGCGGACATCGTCGGAATTGACGGCCGCTCTCACGTTGCCTCGCGACTAGTGTGCCATGGCGGCCTTCCCGTTGCTTGCCCCGCGTGGATCGGGCAGGTAGCCGGCCAAATGACGGACAAGTGAGCCTACAGCAATAACACCTGGAAGAGCCCTCATTCGCTTCCTGCAAGAGACTGCATACGACCGGTCATGACCGTCTTTGCACCTAGAGCCCGCCTCTCGCATCACCAACCAGGGACGGCCGCCATCTCCCGTATGCTTGAAATGGTAGCCTTTCCAATACCGATACAGAGCGGCAACGCACTGCGCAACCAGCCGTCGAATAGCCTGAAGCATCGACATCGAGCAAAGGGATCTTGAGCCAGAGGTAAAACCCAACCGTGGAGACGACCAGAGCGTCCGACGACTTTCGGCGGGACACTCGATCACACTCATTAGTGCGAACTGGGTCACGTCGGGCACACTTGTTAGGGGACTCGATCGAGTCTAAAAATCGCGGCGGTTCACATTTTGACACGGGCTGTCGCGTAAACACGGAAGTCTGGGCCAACTGGGGTCTGATTTAGTCATCGTTTATTAATTTCCCACCACATCTTTGATAGTTAGTGTGCTGGGGCCACACATGCTGGGGCCCCAGAATAATTTCCCTGGCGTTTGCAGCCCTCAGCCTCGAAGCTGAGCGCGAATAAACCAGGCGAATGACCGGGGCAGCTTTAATAGTCTGACAAAGACAGTTGAAAATGACGTTGGTATATTTAGGTAATTAACCCAACAACTGATTAGTAAATTACGTGATAAAAGACTGGAACACAAAGAGTGATAAAGGCAAGTACTGGGTTGTTTAACATATATCTTGTATTCCTAAAGTTATCGGCCGTCAAAATCCGAGTCAGAGGAATCACCAGGGGCCCGTCTGATAACTGCCGACGTTATTCTGGGTCCTCGGGAGCCTCCACCAAGAGTGCCGCCGCCACCGCCTCGACGCCTCTGTCCCCTGTCGGGACTTGGACTGCGGTCTCGCCGCAAATCTCCTCGACGGTCATCAAAACGGCGAACTTCGCGCTCACGACCAAAGCCGCCACCACCCCGACCGCCACGAAATCGGCGGCCGTCGTCGTAGTGGCTTTGCCCTCTGTAAGATTCACGATCTACAAGAGGTTGTTATTAGTTGTTAATCTTACCATTCTGCCTGTCGTTGTACTGGCGTCCTCGATTTCTGTATTCGTCACTTGCTTCGCGATAACAGTCTTTCATGTAAAGTGATTATGAAGAAGACGAACCTTGAATTTCAACGCGGATTGGGCGTCCATTGATGACACGACCAGAACTAGATGACTCAGCGGCCTGGCAGTCCTCAGGAGAGGAGAAAGTGACGGTACCCCAGCTGCGAATATGTATCACAAATTGATCCTTACCCTCTAGACCTCCCTTGATCCGTCAGCATTACGCTTGCGCTGACAGCACGGGGGTACTCCTGAAGAAGTTCCTCATCGGTCACTGACCAGCTAAGGTTATGTATTTTGAGTACACAGCCATCGTTGGAACCGTAATTATCGGCCCCATATCTTCCCTTCTGACCCTGATGGCTGTGGGGCATCTCACTACGTTGCTGACCATGAGAAGCCAAGGACGTGTGACCTTAAAATTATGTAGACATACGGCGCTAAACAAGCACTTACCCTCGCTGAATTGCGCCTGAACAGTCTGTCCACCAACGTTCTTCCCTGTTTGGCACTCATCATAGACAGCCTGGCAGTCACGCTCCGAACGGAACTGTAGTACGCAGGCACTGTTTCCGAAAGACAGCAAGCAGAAATATAGCAGCAAACACAAACCCACATTGATGATTAAAGAAAATATCATCCCGCTCGTAACTGTGGTCGCGCACGCCACTACCGAAAAGCCGAAATCTACATCAATTTGTCCATCAGACCGACACGGAGGGGACGCCAGACGTGGGCCGCTTATATTTAGGTGACCTGCTCATGCGAGCGTCGCAAATGAAAAGGCCTGCTTGGACGCCCAAAAAAGAAAAAAGGTAGGTGTTAGTGGACCGATTGTCTTGCATACGAAACGCATGTATAAATTTACAAAATCGCTATTCGAGGCTGGAGCAGCAAAACATGCACTTCCTTAATCGTTTACCGTCTTACAAAAAGTGTGCTTGCCTACTAATACATCTCGCAAAACGGTAAGTAGGATTGGCAAAAACCTCATTTTTTCCCAAGTCTGTGAGCTTCCAATCAGTAATGAAAAGCAAGTCAACGGCTAACAAGTCTTAACGACAGAGAGGACAGCATGTGACTACTTGAAGTCTTACAAACTCACCCATAGGGCTGACACTTAATGCTCCTAGCGGAGGGAAAGTAAGGACGCAGATCCACTTCGGTTAAGTCAACCGGCACGTTGAAAACGTCTAAGCATGTTGATCCAGCCCCGTAAAGGCCTGAATTCGGTGGTTCGCAAAGCAGACGCGCCTAAAAGAATAAGCGTGTGACATGCGAGTTCCAATAAGGCAAGAAAGAGAACTGGATGGTACAAAAAGTCTTTATTTAATTCATTTATACAATTTGTGTAGGTGTCATTTATTTGCCACCTCTCCAGTTGGACTTGAAGCCGCCCCCGCGACCTCTGTTGGATTGCCCTTTAAAGCCACGGCCCCCATGACCTCGGAAACTGTTACCGCCTCGGAAAGCGTTGCCGCCGCGTCCACCCCTCGGGCTTCCTCGGCCGCCTTGGAATTTGTTTCCGCCAAACCCACGAAAAGGCTTGCCGGAGCCATTCTGTTTAGTAACATCTTTTTTGGGATGTTTGGCGGGCGGGGCCTCGGCTGACTCCTCGTCGGTTTCGTCAGAAGCAGGCTCACCTCCGTCACCAGAATCGTCTTCGTCCTCAGAACCGGCTTCGTCTTCGTCATCTTCAGAACCGGCTTCGTCATCATCTTCAGAGACAGCTTCATCATCTTGTTCTGCATCATCATCGTCTTCCTCGCTGTCGTCCTCATCATCCTTTTCATCACCGTCATCTTCAGATTCGCTGCCGACCTGCGCTGGCATAACAGGTGCTAGGAGAGAATTAAGAGAACAGAGGGCTTACCTTTCTTCTGTTCTTTAGAGGCGGGTTGCTTCGCAGCCTTCTTAGACGGGACATCTTTCTTAGACTCCTCCGGTTGTTGGCCTTGAACATTACAAATTGGAACAATAGGTAAACGATGCTATGGATTTTATGTTGTGCAGATAGCAAAAGATAAGGTGAATGGGGTTTGAGATGGGTGACGACTAGAACAGGAGTTGAGAAATTTACCTTCTAGATGGGCCCGTAACTGCCTGCCTTGGAGCTGCTTTGAGGGTGTTTCATCCAATGCCTTTTTGGTGGCCTCTTCAGACTTGAACGAAACTATCGCAGTTCTAAGGACAGATTGGTTAGACAAAATTATCAAACAAGATGAAAGGGCAGGCACTCCCAGGAAGGCAACTTACCCACTGAATTTTCCGTCATCACGCTTCTGCAAGGTAACCCAGGAGCAGCCTGGGTACAGCGAGCGAATGTCGTCGACTTTCGCTGTGAAAGGTAGGTTCGAGACAACTAGACTCGCAGTCTTTGTGTCCTCTCCTGGCGTTACCACGCGAAGTGGGCGACCACCCATGACCTTTCCATTTGCCTGCTTAGCAGCCTTTTCTTTGTCTTCCTTTGACTTGAACTGCAGGTGGAATGTGCTAAAGATGGAAGTAGATTAGCCAAATCACGACTCACCCCTTTTTCATAGATTCAACAGAAGTGGCTGTGGGGAATTCCTTCTTCATGTCCTCCTGACCAGCGGTGAAAGGTACATTACAGATGACCAAAGATGATTCTGTAATAGGAGACCATTGTGCTGCAACAAACAATAGCATCGAGTATAGTAGGTTACAATTTCACAATACAAAACTATAGTTGTGAAGTAAAGAGGTTTAATTTGTTAGATAAATATACTAGAACTTACGCAGACCTCTCAGAAAAGCCTTGATGGTTGTCCCCGACTCTGACCGACCTTCAAGCGCTTCGAAAGCTTTCTTTGCATCAGCCTCACTAGCGCAGTCAATATAACAGGCATTAGTGAATCTGTTCTTAGGTCCCGTCGTCATAAGTCTTAAAGAATTTGGTTCGATGCCAATCATCTTCTTGAGGTTTTCTGTCGTCAAAGACTTTGGCAAATTGGTAGCAAACACAGTCATGAGAGGAGCATTGCTGCCGCCGGTGCCGGGGTTCTTGGGTTTGCTTGTACGGATCTCCGAGACGTCGCCATTAACAATAACTGCAGACAGAGAACGCGTGTTGTATGTCGCCCCGGAACAGGCAGACACCGCCTTCTTTGCCGCTTCGTCATTCGGGAGGCCAATAAGGGCAACAGGTGAGTAGATACACCCGATTGTCTGCGCATTTACGCCTCGCTTCTTGAGGAATCCGGACAATAGATTCTCGTTCAGACTGTCGAAGTTGAACAACAGGACGTGAGAGGGCGCGTTAGAAGTGGTTGGGATGGCAGAGGACTTAGAAGTCGTTTGTGTGACGACCTTGCCGACTTTTTGTTTGGCCGCTTGCTTGCTCTCGCCCTTTGCTGGCGTTTTATTGATCTGTTTCGGTGGGACCTTATCCTCGGCTCCCGAGTCTTCGTCAGTCTCCGCATCGCTCTCATCATCACTGCCGTCCTCATCTTCATCCACATCGTCGTCATTTTCTTCATCCTCGTTGTCGTCGTCCTCATCTTCACTGCTTACGTCCTCCTCGGAGTCCTCGTCGCTACCGACCACAGGGTCCGAGTTGTCGGATTCCTCCAACTGCTTCATCTTTTTTACTTTTAAACTTGTCTGATCAAGCACAGGCTCATCGTCCTCGGAGTCATCCGGCAGGGGACGCTTCCCGCCCAATTTGGTGTTCGGTGTCTTCTTATTTGACTGGGGAGTCTTCTGTTTTTGGGATTCTGGTGTCTTAACGGCCATTCCTGAAAAAAAAACTGCTTGTTAACTGTTTTTATCGGACGACGTATCGTATCGACGTACCAGGCGTGTGCATTACACGCCTAGGTGAGATTTAAATTATAAAAGTCTTGGGCGTTGTTTCTGAAACCATCCGGAGAGGGAATGGTTTACGGACTACTTGCTGGAAGGGTACATTTTCCATGTGGACCCCCATACGACTTTTCACGGCTGGACGAGCTTACATGCAGAAGCCGGTCGATCTGACCCACCTTACTTTGCCGAACGCCTTGGTGGCTGGCACAAAAGCCTGAGGCAGGCCTAACGAAAAAGGCGCCAGCTCCTAATTTTTAAAATATGTGGGCAGAACTTCCGTAGAGTGCGGCAGTAAAATGCACATCAACCCTCGCTGTCAACACTAAACGCGGACTTCGGCAACTCGAACGGGCCTGACTGTCCATTTATCCGTATGACCGGATGAAATGCCGTTCGGAAAAAATCTCAGGTGCGTACAGGAATCCTGCGGCTCCGTAGTACACAATACGCAACATCGGTGAGAACCTGGACCGACACGCACAGAACAAATTCTGGTCGACTGCATTCGTGCTATACAGAGCAGTTACTAGGTCCGGGTTGCGGAGAAAGTGGTGCAACCCTTAAATTTTAAGATGACTGCTATATTAACACGTCCAACGAAGAACCCCGACTGACTGCCAGACTAATAAGGCATTTTCAAGACTGGCTATCACGGGCCAAACTGACGGGTCTAGTGGAATCTATCTAAGAGCGAACACAAAACAGCCTCTGCCTCATCAAAGTTGCCCGTTACAAGCAAGCCAAAAGGCAAAAATCCCAAAACTGATATAGTGTCGGCGTGAGATAAGTTACTGCATAGGGTTTAGAGAGGAAAGGCAATCAGGCACTAATACAGGCTGGCCAAGCGCCAGACCCAGACAGCGTGCTTCACTTACCCGACAGTCTTTTGTGAGTCTAAAAATAGAGAAAAAAAAGCTTGCTTATATCATGCAAAAACATAAAACTCCTGCATGTAATCAGCGTGAGAGGCAGTGGGGTAGCCGAGTCGACTCAACTACCAAAAGGCCGCGCATGATACGGACAATCGACTGTATTCATACGGGGAACCTAGAAATTAACAGTGACTAAGCGCTGTCGCTCAAAATAAGATATCGAGGAAAGATAAATATACGGAAACCTATCAGACAATGCTCAACTAACGAGACCAAGAAAACCACGCACCATGAGGGGCGAGGCACTCGTGAACTGGGCGGATGTGAAATAGCGGCCCGTTTAAACAAACAGCTTTACAAATAGAATGCGGGATGACTCAAAAAGATAATCGCGTCAAAAATAAGAGGATACAGACAAGAAGGTATTCCGAATGCCACGAATACATTCAAGTGGTATGGAAAAATTACTTTATGTTCTGACTATGTTTATGAACGCGACGATGTTTTTGGCAGTCATCTGTCCTGTCAAACACGAATACAATGTAGGTTGACTTACAATCACGTACTGAACTGTCTGCCAATAACAAAGACTTGCTGCACCTCCTGATAACACGCATTTTGCCAGAGAAGATACCTGATATCGTTAGAGGTTATAATAACCTTTTCCTAAGGCACTAAGTGGTCCCCAATTAAAAAACCCACAAGGGATCTTGAGGAGAAATTCTCTAGTTAAAAACATGAAATTGAGGAATTTAACTTACATCAGATGAGAATTTCAGACTAGTTGACGTGTAACCGCTTAAATTGCATGCAGTTGATGGGCTTTTCGACCAATGTATTCATATGCAGTCGGACGCATTCTGCCTGGTGGTGATCGTAACCGACGATGTCCGTCGCTTGATCCACAGCAAGGCGGAACGGGGATGGTGGCTTGAGCGTGAGTTGGTTTGTAGTGAATGTAGACTTTCACAGGATCTACCGCGCTCTCTCCTCCCCACCTGGGTCCGATATTAACACCGAGTCACGATGACAGCAGGTAGGAGGGGATGGCGCAGGTGAATGGCACGGTTGCGCTCGCACCTTGTGCGGAGTATGCTGCCTGGACTGTCTAGACATCACGCCAAATGCCCGTGTACCCTGTTCAGACAACCTTGGGGCTGATTGGCAACCCTTCAGCCTATGGCATTCCACGGCCATATGCGCAGCCGTTTCCACAAGGCTCCTAATTTGTGCTGTCTCTCGTACTAACTACACGTCCTGTTTACGACTAACCTTCTGCTTTGCATATCTAACATTGGCAACGCAGCCAAATCAGCATGTCTTCTTTGCTGCCTACGCCGTTAACTTTCTAGCCAAAGAACACCCAGAAACCCTCAAATGACTCGTGGTTGAAATGGAGAAAAACATATGAAGACTACATTGGACTATATCCGATTATGTCATCAACGATTGTATTAGCTGAAATGCCTCGGACAGTTGGGCCAACGATATTCTGACGCATTCAATTTACGAGAGGCTATAGGTCTCCAATTAGCCTTCAAAAAACTCGAGCTAACGTGATAGGAAAAATACAACCTCTTCCTCAGTCGCTATCGGTTTTGTCAAATGTGTCAGAAATCCAATCAATTTGTCGGCGATTTTATTACAAATCTGAATCTGGCCATCCAGGACTGTAGGTATAAAAACATAAAGGCAGACAACTTCGAGCACGCGACGCTCGTTCAGCAATTGATCGTCGGTCTGCGCGATGAAAAAGCTCGAAAAAATCGCTTAACAGAGAAGAAGGATTTTTCACGGGAGAGAGTCTGTGATATCGGCAGTCATCAGGAGCGCGTGCGCAAAACCTTCTGCAGCTGAATCAGTCAAACGATGAAGTGATGGCACCCTTGGAATCCGTAATGGCTGTCCCCTTGGTCAACATTGCCGTGGCTTAACCTAAACCGTGACCATCAGCTCCCTCAAAACAACTATAATCCTGCTACCGTTGTTGGTCGACATCATATCCGGTGGTCAGACCGTAGACACCAGAAGGTGGTATGCCAGTTTTGCAAGAAAATCTACCTCATAGAACGAGTGTGTTTCTCTACAAGACGGACGAACATTAATACGCATACGATCAACCCTAATCTAGCTGGGGTTGGCGAGGCGATACTCCCAATATTTTCGGCCAATGCGCTGCTCCAATCGCCCTACACCATTACTCCTCTGGTTAGTCGTCGTCCCGTGAAGTTTGAAATCGACACTGGCTCAGCTGTTACTCTCATCAACGAGGGCTCTCTTCAGAAATTACCATCGCTCCTTTCGGCTAGCTCGACATTCCGTAGTTACACTGGACAGAAAGTAGAGTTTAGAGGGGACTTTACGACCGAAGTTGAGCATGAGGGGAACTCCACTACTTGCCGGTTCATGTAGTGACAAGAAGCCAGCAACCAAATCTCCTCGAACGAAAATGGATTAAATGTGTGTCTTCTGTGCTATCCTATGTGAATCGGGTTGGTGTAAATCCGGCTTTAAATTCAATTTTTACAAATCATAAGGAACTACTTCGTGACGATTCTGCTACCCACTACCGCGGTCCACCTGTTAAGTTCCAGTTTCAGTCAGATTTTCGGCCCCGGTTCCTCAAAGCTCGTACAGTTCCCTATACAGTTGAACCGAAGATCTAAGAAGAGCTGGATCGCCGAAAGAAAGCGGATATCATCTAGCCCCTGCAATATTCTGAATGGGCAATCCCAATTCTTAAATTCGATGGTTCTTACAACCAAGTCGTCTTAGGTACCGAATCCAGAGACGCCACCACAAACAATACGCACTGGGGTTGGTTTCGATGCAAAAAACTTCCATTTGGAGTAAGTTTTGTTCCCGACTCATTTCGATTTTTGGTTGATAACCTCGTGAAGGATATACCTCACGCTTGCACATATCTTGACGATATATTAGCCACCGACCCATCTGAACATAGTCATCTAAAAAATCTAAACATCGTGTTAAGGCGTTTAGAAGACGCAGGTTTTAAACTCAGGAAAGATAAGTGTACTTTTCTTGCAGAGTCGGTGACGTACCTGGACTTCAGGCTGGATAAACCTGGCCTCCACCCACTCGAACATAAGTTCAAATCCTTGAAGACGGTGCCTCACCCCAAAAATACTAGTCAACTGTGTTCATTCCTTGGGTTGGATGTACACTTTAGTTGCTCTATTAATCAATCGGCTACAATTATAAAGGCTCTTTATCAACTTCTTGAAAATAATCGTTGCTGGAACTTGTCGAGGTCGAAAAATGTGCTTTTGAACAGGCGAAGGCGGCCATTACCTCCTGGTCTGTCCTAATTCATTATGACACCGAAAACCCTATCATACTGAAATGTGATGCATTTCCGTACGGCATAAGCGCGGTTCTCATGCACCGAATGCCTTCTGGTGCGGAAATGCCGATGGCCTTTGCATCAAGAACCATGTTCCAAGCGGAAACCGATTATTCACAACTAGATAAGGAGGTCTTAGCAATACTGTTTGGCGTACATCGTTTCCACCTGTATCTTTTTGGTCGACCCTTCGAGATTGACACTGATCAAAAACTCCTCTCAGGTTTGCTGTGGAAAACGTCTAGTGGACAGTCATAATGGCTACGTCGCGCCTCTCGCTAGCGCCTGCACCTACGTCCTAGCGACAGCCTGCTATGGCACGCACGTCTGTCCGGCTTCGATTTGTCTCGTTGCAATTCACTGTCTGCACCACGCATTCGGTCGATTCTCTGCCTGCACCACGCGAGGCATATCACTACCTTCGCGTAGGCTTGGAGCCAATCAACGCAACTCCTATCGCTGATTGGTAAGACAGACGGGCACAGCCAGACCACTAGCGTAAACAATCTGCAACGACACTTTTGCAGCGGCAACCTTCGGCGACACAGGGCTCGTCGCTCTCGCGGACGCCGCCTCCGCGGCGCCGGACGCATCCTCGTCCGGTTGCCAACTTTCCCCTTCACTATTCTGTACAGAATAAAGTGTCCTAATCAAATGGCGTCCTGCTTCTAGCAACTTGGGATATGGCCTGAAGTTGTGGCGTACTGAGCGTACACCATCACCGCTTAGCCGCTACAAACGAGAGATCCAACAGATGTCCTTGTCAAAAATGCAACAATGGACACTCACTTTGTCTGCTTACAAATATGTAATGAAATACATTACGGGTAGTGCAAACGTAGTGACTGACGCCTTTAGTAGGCTTCCCATCGCAGGCGATGGTGGTAAGCGGGCACCCGTTTTGTGATGGTTAATATTTGCAGAACCTAATCAACGTACCTTTAACCTGTCAACAAATTAAGCGGGGAACATTGAGAGACCCTCTTTTAAGTCGGGCAAAAAGAGTCTTGCAATCTGGCTGGCTGTCCTATGCCTCCCCTGATTTTCAGTCATTCTTCAGCCGTCAGAACGAGCTGAGTCTACAAGACAGAGGCATACTATGAAGCAATCGTGTGATTGTGTCACGACGGGGCCGACGGCTCATCCTCATAGACCTGCATAATGCTCATCCGGGTACAGCTATAATTAAAGCTCTCGTCTACAGCTATGTTTGGTGGCGCAAAATTGGCACAGATATCGAAGATGTATTGGAAGGTCACGTGTGCCAAATAATGTAGAAGGCCTTATTTGATGGGCCTCTGAGGCCTTGGGTCTGGCCCGACTCGCCGTAGAAGAGGGTAAACGTCGATTATTTTGGGCAGTTCCAAAGTCATATGCCCTGGTGTTGGCTGACGCCCACGTTACATGGATTGATGCGATCCCAACAGTAAATTCCTGTTCTTCACTGACCACAATTAACAAGTCGTGAATCGTTTTTTCTAATTTCGGGATACCTGAGATGGTCGTTTCAGACAATGGCCCGGCCTTTTCTAGTGCCGAATTCATGGAGAAAAATGGAATTATTCATTTAACCACTGCCCCGTATCATGCTGCCTCTAATAGCCTCACAGAGCCTGCGGTCCAGACAATAAAGCACGGACCAGCCAAACAGACGGAAGCGGACTTGACCACCAAGTTGTCACGCTTTCTGTTCAGCTATCGCATAATATCAAGCGCCTCAACCAGTGCTTCACCTGCAGGATTGATCTTGAAGCGGCAGTTGCGCACACGACTCGACCTGCTTAATCTACCAGCGATGGATACAGTCATCGAAAAATAGAGGAAGATGATGGCACGATGTCATGTAAACACCCGACCACGAGTCGTCGCGCCTAACGAAAGCGATTACACGCGACTAGAACACGAAACGAACGGGTGTCCAGCGGCAGTTCAAAAAAGCGAGGGGCAAGTAGTAGAATTGGAGTTAAAAGATGGGAGAATTTTGCGTCGACATCTGGACCAAGTTCGTAGACGAACGGCACAGTAAGCGGAGAATTCGGGAAGTTCGAACTGCTAGCAACCCTTGATAGGGATCCTGGCATCCCGAGGACTGAACATCTACTGCCTGCACAGAGCACAACGCCACTGGCCGAGGTGTCTGTTACCCCTACTCCTTCTACCCCAGCCAGCACTAACTTAGGGACAGAGGAACCAGAGACTCCACAACGTGGTACGGAGGTCAAAAATACCATCCTGGGAAGATCAACTCGAACCTGCAAACCTGTCAAACGCTTTCAAGATGAATTTTCATCAGCAAATTTCCTAAATATTCACCGTTACCTTTACTGTTTCGCTTACCATCCCTTCCCGATGATGTTCACTTTATGGTGGGGGGATGTAGAGTATGCTTCACGGACTGTCTAGACATCGTGCCACATGCGCGCGACCAAGGTCTTGTACCCCGTTCAGACAACCTTGGTTCTCGTTGGCAACCCTTCAGCTTACGGCATTCCCCCTGCCATATACCCCTTCGTTCCCGCGACGTTCCCCACTTGTGCTGTCTCTCGTTTTTAGCAATGTCCTATTTGCAATTAACCTTCTGTTTTACAAACATAACACCTTGGCGCTCCATTCCGCACTCCCTGGTATACACAGCAAATGATCAGGATTTTAACAAACGACAAAGGGGCGGCCGACACGGCAGGAGCCGCACATAGGCATGCCACCACACCTGGCTCGGATACCACGGAGCGGGAGTGCTATGAAGGCCATATTAAGAAGGGGCCATTGCAGCCTAACTCTTAGGCTACCAGTTGGCCGCTCCACACAAGCACACAACACTGGGCCGACTGACAGGTTTAAGTTATCCCGTCAGTTGACGACCTTCCAAACCACGGCCTTTAGCGCACCGTGATAGCCTCAAGCGCGTCAAATTGTTTGTGGCGAGGAAAGTTCGCTGACTTGTCGACCTCACTCTCCTTTCCCACTCCAAGGCCCCAGCCACTGTCCGAGCCGGTCAGTTGACAGATGCGGAGAATGGGTGCTGTGGCTGACATATCTAATGACTTTGTCTGCGCGCTCCACACGCACGGCCCGACCCCCCAAACACAAGTCCCAGGATTTCACACAACGGGGGTTGGGCTGCGCACATCTCACCTACGCGAGAGTGTCCTAGGTCATGTTAGGAAAGAGCCGTTCTGGTCGGGCTCTCAGCCCACCGGTCCGCCAGTGCACACATGCACCTCCACGACCGGGCAGACTATGTGGACTGAGTTAGGGCGTGGATCGGCTGCCTTCCAAGCCGCGGCGCCCGACGCACGGTGATAGTCTCGGACTCCGATCAACCATGCAACAGGGGAGTCGCATGGAGAAGGAGTCGAGACACACACTTCCCACTCGCGTGGGAGGTGGCATTTGGGTGCTTGCGATGGATGATGCTGATGTGCGGTGAGATACTGGTGAGGGATGATGTGATGGTGTGGTTTAGACGGTGGTTGTCTACCGCAGGTTTTCGTGAATGCACATGTGATTGAATAGACTTATGCGGTGAGAGAATGTGCTGGGACAGTGTGGACAGTGAAAACGAGTGTGGCGATTGTAGGTTGGTGCTCTAGACACTGGCTCCCCACTCTCTGTGTGATTCATTCGCAAATAACCGACTAGGCTGATGTATGAGATGATGTACGGGGACAGTGGGGACAGGAAAAGTCGGCGGTGTCAGTGTCGGTTTCGAAGACGATGGCAGTGGTGCAGCTGCTGTTGGTGGACGCGCTGGGTGGCGGGGTGTGCATTGGGCCAGGCAAGGTGGATGCGCAGGAGGTGCTAGATGTGTCGAGACTGCGGTCGATTCCGCCCTCGTGGATGGCATGTGGCTGAAAAGACGCATACGGTGAGTGAGTGTGAGGGCGCAATGTACACAGTGAAGGCGAAAGCGGTGAGTGTAGGTTGGTGTTCCAGGCACTGACTCACCGGTCTCTGCGTGGCAGATTCGCAAATGACCAACCAGGCCGATATGGGAGGTGAAGGAGCGGCACCAGTTAGAGCTGGCATGGATCGAGTCCACTTCGCTGGCGTTGTCGGTGGGGGGAGGGGGTGGGGAGGGGTTGATGTTTGTTGTTGTGTCAGGATCGTGTGCAGTGGTGGTGAGTACAGAAGCCGCCGTAGCAGATGTGAAAGCAATAGAGCAGGAGGAGGAGGAAGGGGGAGGATGGTAGTGGGGGTTATAGGGCGGGGTTTTTACAAGTTGTCGGCGTGGAGGATGAGGTAGCTGTGGACAGCGGGATATCGGGTGGTGTAGTTCGAATGCTACAGTTGGTACGAAGATGTCCGCCAAGGCCACTTGCTGCCCAGAACGTCCGCTGACAGCGTGGACAGGTCGGGCTGGTTGAAAGTTGGCGTTGCAAGGCGGTTGCAGTCGGGATTTGTGGGCCTAGCGTTTGGCTTTGTCGGCCGTGATACGGTTAGCTTCGTAGATTGCTGCGCCTATCTTAACTGCCCCCGCCGGTTAGGTCGGTCTCGAGCGAGATCTTCCAAGTTGGCCGGATTAATCTGCGGGCGCTTTAGTAAAGTCTTCAGAGTGTCCTTGTAGCGACGGACTTGGCCTCCTTGCCGGCGTGAACCTTTGGCGACATCTCCGTAGAAGAGTAGTTTGGGTAGCCCTCGTCGTCCATAAGCACGAGGTGGCCGCTCCAACGCAAATGCAGCTGTCTCAGCATGCCGTAGGTACCGAGGATTCCCGTCCTCTCCAGTACATTCGTGTCCGGGATCCGCTCCTGTCAACTCGGCTTCGATATCCGCTGAACACATCTGAAGTGAAGGTGACTTAGTCCCCGCGCCTGCTTCTTGTTCATCGTCCAGGTTTCCGCTCCATACAACATCGTCGGCAGGATGACCGCTTCGTAAATCTCCAGTTTGGTGTTAGGGCGGAGACAGCGGCGATTCCAGACTGTGCTTTACGGACGACCGAAGGCTTGGCTGACTTTGGAAATCCGGCTGGCCACTTCGTCGTCGATCTTGATGGCGCGGGGGAGATTGCTGCCCAAGTAGGTGAAACTGCTCACGACTTGCAGCTGGGCGCCTTTCACGGTGATCTGCGGTGCGACGTATGCAGCGTCGGACAGCGGTTGATGCATAACCACCGTTTTTTCCGTGTTTCTGACAAGGCCGAAATTGTCGCAGGCGGCGTCGAAGAGAGGTTAATGGACGGTCGTAGTGGATACACGCGATTTGACGTGCATCCGTCGACGATTGCGGAGGTTGCCGTCCGTCCCGTCACCCATGCGGATTCCAAGGTGTTTGTCATGGTAGACGTCAATCAGCATGACAGAAAACATGAAACTGAAGAGGGTGGGAGCGAGGACGCAGCCGTGCTTCACTCCGTTGGTCACTGCGAATGCCTCAAAGACTACTCCATTGTCCGTGACTCGCACTATCATGCCATCATGGATCTGACGCACTATCTGGGTGAATCGCTCGAGGCAGCCGAACTTCTAAATAAATAGAATAAATAAATACTTTGTATTCAAGACCCGTGGAGGTCCGTTCAAAGAAAGTTAAAATAATTTTTATATGAATTTTAGAACAGGTATGCAGAATCTATACAATACTTAATTCATACTTATATAATAAGTAGTCTGTTGCGAAGAATGATGAGGGAGCGGTGAAAAAACTTTTAACATGTAAACAAATGAACATGACTGGATTAAAATTATAGGAGAAAAAAACTGTCGCTCATGAAAGGATAGAAAGCGGACAGGACCGGTCTGCATATGGCAGTGCATAACGGATTTCATGTAGGGGTAAGTATGCGGGTCAGACCAGATTGGCCTGCATGCGGTATTGAGTAAAAGGTTCGAAACGGACATCAGCAAGACATAATTCATATTTCGAATGAGGCTATTCACGTCAAAATGGCGAGGCTAAGGGAACCGAGACGCGACCGGTAACAGTCCGCTTCTAGTCCGGCCGAGGAGGGGGCAAGGGAGACACGACTAAACTACTAGTAGACGACGAATACAGAGGGTTCCGCATAGGGCGTCGACAGACCGCCTGGAGTCGAAATGAGTAAAATTATCTCAAGAATCACAACAATCAACACTTGCGGGATTTGCGTTCGAAAGAGTGGGGGCCAAAATGGAATTCTGACAAGTGTCCGATTTCAGAGAAACCGAGTCGGCCTAGAGCCTGCCCGTCAATCTGGCCACACTACCTCTTTAAAGGAATTTGTCCAGAAGAATATCTCATTCTGTGAGGGGCTTGATGTATGATCTGAAAAATCGAAAATACCTACATATTTAAAAGAAGGCGAAGGCACGATCACTGGGACAGTAGGTTTATTTGCCTGAGCTTTCGAACTCGAACTAGAGTTCATCATCAGAGACTACTCGAGTGCAGCAAATTGTGAACATTTATATCGTTCATCCTTGTGGGGGGGGGGAAGGGGGAGTACGTCCGTGCCGTCTGGTCCACGGTGTTCCCCCGGCGTGGTGACGCCGTTTGTACTTCGCGACGGTGTGAGCTGCGTCACCCGGCTGCGTGGGCGGAGCGCGTGATAACACGCAGGCAAATCGATGTGTCTGTTGATGGAGTTGGTGTCCGACACCCACGCCTCCAACAGCTCTCGCCTTGTCTTGTTGCCGGCTCGCGCCAATATCCGCGTGTTGACGAAGTCGAACTCATGCCCTTCCTCCAGCGTGTGAGTGGCTACTTGAGACAGTTGGTCACCTCTCCGAACGGCCTGTTTGTGCTCAAGTATTCGTGAGCTCAGACGTCGTCCTGTCCGGCCTGTGTAGTGGCAAGGACAGTTTTGGCACGGGATTCGATAGAATACGCCCGACTGCTCACCTGCGTCCAGCCGATCCTTCATTTTCATGATCCTGCTACGCATGGTGGCCGCCGGATGACAAAGGAAGAGCAACAGTTGTGACGAACCGCGTTGATTACAACGAGAAGGCACAAGCTCTCCTGGACGACCAACAATCCTACAGGTCCGCACCCGCCTCGCAGGCCAAATCGATGATTGACCAGCTGACTTGACTCTTAAGCCGACTCCGGTGCAACAATGTAATCTTGCTGGACGAATGGCGCCAGACAAAACCAACCGACACGGCGTTGGCCAGGTTCTACGGACTACCAAAAATCCACAAACCCATCGTTCCTCTGCGGCCAATCGTTGCCCTGAAAGGCAGCCTCACATACAATTTAGCCAAATGGATGTCCCGAAAGCTCAATTTTCTCCGAGAGGGCTCTGTGACGTCCGTCAATTCGGCTTCCCAATTCCTTGCCGACATTCGGGGAAAAACTGCTCAACCCGACCAAATCATGGTATCCTTCGACGTTGTCTCACTTTTCACGTCCATCCCACCAGACTTGGCGCGCGACGTGCTACGCAAACGCTTCGAAAAAAAGTACAACGAAACGACAGGGCCGCTAATGATCCAGCACCTAATGCAGCTCTTTGCATTCTGCCAACGAACCTTTTTCACCTTCGATGGCAGAACATACGAACAAATCACAGGAACACCCAATATCCAACCTGCTTGCGGAATTGGTACTACAAGAGCTGGAAAAGGCTGCTTTCAGCCATTACAAACCTGCGTTTTGGCGCCGATACGTGGACGATACATTCGTCATTATTGAAAAGGACAGGCTATCGGGTTTCCAAGACTTACGTAACAGCATATTCCCCGACATTCAGTTAAAAAGAGAAGACGAGGAGGACGAGGAACTACCCTTCCTGGACGTGCTTGTCACGCGCACACCTGACGATGAACTCAGCACTACAGTGCACAGAAAGGCGACCAATACAACCAAGTTCCTCAACTAACATAGCAACCACCCATTGGTGCACAAACGGGGCTGTGTGAGGGCGCTTTTCGACCGGGTAAAAACGCACTGTAGCGAGCCCGAAGGAAGGATGCAAGAACTACGGCATCTCCGGGACCAATTAACAAAGAACGGCTACCCAA